CTGAGGAGGACAACGAGGAGGTAAGAAGGATTTTATTTGTGGGATGGGGCTGGTGGTAAATGAACAGTATCTGTGGAGGAAACAGAGGCAGGGACCCCAGCAGGGAACCAACAGCTCGGGTGGATCCTTTGCAGGGCTGTCAGAGCTCCAGGAGCATTTGGACAAGCTCTCAGGCCCAGGATGGGATTGTTGGGGTGTCTGTGCAGGGCCAGGAGCTGCACTGGATGATCCCTGTGGGTCCCTCCCCACTCAGGACATTCTACAATCCAGTGATAAACATTTAAATTCTCACTGCAACTATTGCTGGCAAAACTACGAAGATGGTTGTTTTAAAGAGGAAAGCTCTGACCAAGCCCTCTGCCCTTCCCTGTCCAGGTTGAGGACCTGTCAGATTCGGCCTTCGCTGCTCGGCACGGGAAGTGTGAGGAGATGGAGCGGGCGCGGTGGCTCTGGAGCACGAGTGTCCCCCCGCAGCGCCGGGGCAGCAGGTACAGCCCTGCCCAGGGGCCACATCCCCAGCACTGGGCTGCTCCTGGGAGCAGGGGGGATCCTGGTTGAAATGGTTGAAAGCTGGTGCTGGTGTTGAAAGGTGTGGCACCATCCAGCGTGAGGAGCCCATGTGGGAGCAGGGCGTGGGCTTGCTTAGGTGGGGGTGAAGCTACAGCCCAGTTTGGCTGCAGACAGCTGCACCATCTGCTTTCTCAAGCATTTCCACTGCTCCAGAAGCATGGGAGATGCTGTGCCAGCCCGGGAGTCCAGGGGGAGGCACGGGGCTTGCAATGACAATGTTTCCTCCGCAGCTGCAGTTCCCAGTGCTCCTGGGACTGGGGTGTTTTGCTGTTTCTTTAGCCCATTTCTTACATCTGAAGTCCTTGATGAACACTTGCTGTTGCAGTTCGTCTTGGAGAGTTGCACGTGGATTTGGGAACTCGGTTACGTTTCTGTGCTTGTAGCCTGTGGGTTTTTATCTGAACTCTGTCGGGGCTCAGACTTTGGTAATTCCTGGTTGAAATCTGAGGTCTCGGGGTTTCACTGTGCTCCCCTCACTCCCAGGTGCTGAAATTGCTGCATTTCCAGCATTGCTGATTTCCTGCACTCAGTTCCTGAGCTGCTGCCAGGGTCACCTGGTGTGAGGAGGGGGAGACACGTGGAAGTGCCTTGATTCCATAGGGAGCTTCTCATGGTGTTTGTGCAGCACTGGGAGTGTAGGAGATGTGTGGGACACGGAACCTCAGGAGAGCAGCATCAGTGGTGCATCCACCCGTGGAAGTGGGACAGGGATGGGCCTGGCTGGGTTTGTCTCTGGAATGTGGCATTCCCTGCTCGTGTTCCCATCAGGGCAAAGGGATCCAGGGTAGGGTCAGGCAGCAGAGGGGAGCATGGCTGGGCTCTCAAACCTGCTCCTGTCTCAGGTCCTACAGATCAACAGACGGACGGACGACCCCCCAGCTGGGGAACCCCTCGACTCCCCAGCCAGCATCCCCTGAGGTGGGCAGCTACCACTCACACTTGGAGCTGTCCCACAGCCACTCACCACGCAGCCCCATCAGCCCCGAACTGCTCTGTGCCCCCCTGACCCCCCTGTCCCGGGACTCCCTGCGCCTCCTGTCCAGCGAGGACACGCGCTGCTCCACGCCCGAGGCCGGCCTGGACGAGCAGGTGGGTGCTGCTGCGGCCGGGACAGGCCTGGCACCGCAGGGGACACGGGTGGGGACACCAGGTGGGGACACAGCGGTGGGGACACAGCGGTGGCAGTGCAGGGGACACAGGCGTGGCACCGCAGGGGACACAGGGGTGGCAGTGCAGGGGACACGGGTGGCACCGCAGGTGACCCCGGTGTGGGGAGGCAGGGATGGCACTGCAGGGGATACAGCAGTGGGGACACAGCGGTGGCAGTGCAGGGGACACAGGTGTGGGGAGGCAGGCTGAAGCTGCCTGTGGTGCTGCTGGAGCTCTGGCCCATGGGGTCAGGGCGGTGGGAAGCGCTGCCAGCGCTGGCTCCATGTCCCAGGCTGCTCCAAGCCTGGGGCTCTGCACCGGGAGCAGCTCTGAGCTCCAGATCTGCAGGTGGCGAGCACGGGAGGCTTTTGCAGGGGTTTTGGGCACAGGAGGCTTTGGCAGGAGTTGTGGGCACAGGAGGCTTTGGCAGGGGTTGTGGGCACAGGAGGCTTTGGCAGGGGTTGTGGGCACAGGAGGCTTTGGCAGGGTTGGGGGCTCAGGAGACTTTTGCAGGGCTGGGGGCACGGAGGCTTTGGCAGAGGTTTTGGGCACAGGAGGCTTTGGTAGGAGTTGTGGGTACAGGAGGCTTTTGCAGAGGTTTTGGGCACAGGAGGCTTTGGCAGGGTTGTGGGTACAGGAGGCTTTTGCAGAGGTTTTGGGCACAGGAGGCTTTGGCAGGGTTGTGGGTACAGGAGGCTTTTGCAGAGGTTTTGGGCACAGGAGGCTTTGGCAGGGGTTGTGGGCACAGGAGGCTTTGGCAGGGTTTTGGGCACAGGAGGCTTTGGCAGGGTTGGGGGCTCAGGAGGCTTTGGCAGGGGTTTTGGGCACAGGAGGCTTTGGCAGGGGTTTTGGGCACAGGAGACTGGCAGGGCGGTTCCGTGACCCGCTCTCTCCGCAGGCCGTGCCGCCCTGGGAGCGCCGCACCTTCCCGCTCTCCTACGACCCCCGGACGGAGTGCGAGGACCAGCCCGACCCCCAGGACCGGCTCTCGCGCTGCACCCGCCGCACGTCGGGCAGCAAATCCTCCCGGGAGTGCGATGGCACTTCGGCTTCGCCCAGCCTGCCCAGCCTCAAGAGCCGAACCCCGCTGGCCCCCCCCTCCTCCTCCTCTTCCTCCTCCTCTTCCTCCTCCTCCTCCTCCTGCTCCGCAGTCCTGCGGCCAGCGCACAGATAGAGACACACGGGGAGACATGAGCAAACCAACACACAGAACTAACTCTTGGCATTAAAGCTTCCAAAATCTGCGTTTGATATTCAAACATCCTGCCGGGAATTTTCACAGTTTTTAGTGAATTTAAGGAGTTTAGAAACTGTTTTTGTTTTCTTTTTTTTTTCCTTTTTTTTTTTTTTTTCCTTGTTTTCTTTTTTTTTTCCTTCTCCATGTTTCCTCGTCACATGAATGAGCCCCCAGATTACTCCCAGCGGAGTGAAGCCTCGGGAGGGGAGCAGCCCACCAGACCCCCTCCCCTTTCCTCCCTCCTTTAGGTGTATAAAACTAGAGCACAGGATTTAGCTGACTAGCAGATTTCGGGGATAGTTTTTCCCACCAAAAGGGTGTCGTTTTCTCTTAACCCACTCCCCCCGCCCTGAAAGGTTTTAGTGGAGTGAAATTAGTGGTGAAAAGTGATGTCTTGGGATTACAACCTTCACCGTCTGGCTGTCCTCACCTGCAGAGTGCCCACCTGCACTTCACCCTCCTGCATTTTCCTGCCCCAGGTTGTAGTTCAGGTATCCAAAGGGGGAATTCTGTCCCCTGATCCTCGCTCTGCCCCTGGGGACACCTCTCCCTTCCTTCTCCCCTGGTTCAGAGCAGCCGTGGTTCTGGCTGCATTCTGGGCAGGGGGAAAGGAGGGACCTTGTGGCTGCTCCACACTCGGCTTGGCATGGCAGGGGTGGGAGTTGGAAAGCGCCTTGTTCACAACTGGTGTGTGGCGAGGGCAGGGATGGGAGGAGTCCCCGATGCTTTCAGCAGGAGCAGAATTCCCGGAGTACTTGGATGCCCTTTGGGGTGAGGCTGGAGCTGGGCCGAGGCCGGTGCTGGAGCTCTGCCCTGGCTGAGAGTCTGGGCCGGGGGTCCTGCAGGTGGGCTTGTGTCAGACCGGGGGGGCCAGAGAGGGAAGGATGGAGGCAGGAGGCAGCTCCTGGAGGATCGGGGTCACCCCGGTCCCACTGGGGTCACCACAGCTTCGCTCCACTCCCGCACCGTCCCAGCTCCGGTGTCAGTTCCGTTTCATTTCGGGCGCCCCGTGCCCCTCCTGACAGGGATTTGAGTTTGAGCCCAGTTCGTTGTTCCTCCCCGTCCCGCACCCGCAGTGATCCCGGACCCCGCGCACCGTCCCCATCGTAACGCTTCCCGGTCCTGACGGTGTGGCTCCTGGGCCCTGTCCTGTTGCTAGCATTGTGCCTGTCTTATGTATAATCACATCACCAAAAAAACGGGAAAAAAAATACAAAGGACTTTTTTTTTTTTTTCCATTTTGTAATCGTAAAGAAATAGTCGCTGAACTGCTTCATGGTTGGGGTTTTCACAATTTTCAACATGATCTCGTGGTTTTGGTTCTGTTCTAGTTTAAAGGATCCGTCATCGTTTCTTTAAAACAAAAACCCAACAAACAACGGCGCTACCATATCCCTCTGCAGAAGTGCTTTTCTATTTATAAGGTTGAAAATTCTGAATAACCCTTTTAGCATTATAAAAACCACACAAAAAAAAAACCCACCTTGTATTTTGTAAATATTTTCTTTTCCTGCTTTGAGCTGTGTAATGTCCTTGTTATATAGAAATGCTTTTCTTCCGAGAAGCTGATCTTTGTTAATGTCTTGATTCTGTTGGCAAAGCACAAATGTGCTTATAAAAAAAAAAAAAGAAGAAAATATTAAAAAAAAAATTAAAACGTAATATTCCATTTGATGAGTGTAAAACGCTGGGCTGGGACAGGGAAGGGGCCCTCAGTGCACAGATCAGCTGCTTCCCTCCCGCGTTCCCGTGGCCTCTTTTTTCCTGTGTGATGTTATTTTCCAGCAGTTAATGTCAGCAAGAGGAGGAACCTCCGGGCTGGGAGTTATTTTATTTTACATTTCTGGGGTTAACTGGGTGCTGCTGTTCTCATCCGGGGACTGCTGTGTGCACCCCTCTGTGCCCCAGGCAGAAGTGTGGGGGCTCAAAAAGTAACAGAAAAACTGCAAACCAGTCCCTGTCCCTCTGTGCTGCCCCAGTCGATGGTTCTGTGGATGGACCCCCCACCCCACGTCCCCCCATGCAAAAGAGGTGCCAATTACCATTATCGTAGTAATGACTTTATTTCCAAATTCACTTTTACGGCAACAGTGTAAACCAGTTGTTAAACACACGATACACTATGGACACCCACAGACAGAAGCTAAGCTAGAATGATACACTGAGATCAAACCTTCCCTCCCGGCGCGGCGCGGGGCTGCCAACGCCACACAGGCTGGCACCGGCCTTTGCTAACACGCAGAAACTTTTGGAGTGCAGAAATACCACTTTTTTTTTTTCTTTTTTTTTTTTTTTTTTTTTGCTAATCAGTGCCGGTTTTAACCCTTTTCAGACCCAAGATGTGTGTGGAGTAAAGGAAGAGCCGGGGGTCAGGCTGTCCGGCTGCTCACCGGACCCAGGCCTGGGTCTGAACGCGGGGTCGGGGCAGGGGACGTGGCTCGGGCTGCTGGAGGGGACAGCGGGTGACGTGGGGGATGTAAAGGGCTGTCCTGGCGCCCCACAGCCCCCGGGGGGGACGGCAGCCGGGGCTGAGGACACTCAGAGCACACCAAGGACACGCCAGCCCTGGGTGCCGCTGTCCCTCAGGGGCTGCACGGAGGGGACAGGGGTGGCACAGGACGGGCGAGCTCAGCTACCCCGTCCTGCAGCCCAGAAGGGGTACGGAGGTGATGCTTTGAGGGTTCTCCCAACTTGCTCGTTCTACAAAGGACAAAAAGCGCGGCGGCTCCTACAGCGCTACAGAGTCAGGGACGGAGCACAGAGCCTTACAATCATGGAGTCAAGTGAACGGAGCGAGTGACAAAAGCTGGACATGATGGTGGTGCTGGACCAGCCTCTCCCCAGCCATAAAGCAGCTCCTTGGGCTGCAGAGAAGGGTTGGACCCCCCCAGACCATCTCCATCCACAGCCAGGCCTGCTGCAGCCCAGCCCCACAGAGGGACAGTGGTAACAGCGGGTTCACAGCTCCCACGGGATGGGAGCAGGTCCCGTCCAGGGAAAAGCTGCTGCTCTGCCCAGGAACAGCTGCTCTGACAGCCTTGGTGGCACCCAGCCACCACCCCAAGGACAACCAGGGGCCCGACCCCCTGCCAGCCCTGTCGGACCAGGATTCCAGCCCTTGCTGGGAAAGCATGGCTTTCCCTGCAGCCCCACCGGGGACCCTCTGCCCTCCCACCTCCAGCTGAACCCCCAGAGCTCGGCTGGGGCCCTGGGGGAGACAGGGCAGGAGGACACGCAGCTGCACTGGTGGCATCTCGGCCTCTTTGGTTGTAGAGGGAAGGGGCAGGCAGGGACAGCCCTGGGACCCCCTCGTGCACCCCAGGGAGCCACAGGAACAGAAGCAGCCAAAGCAATAACTGGACTGGCTCCTGTCCCCGAGGGGTGCTGGGGTGGTCAGTGCTGTGGGGGGGGTGAGATGCTGCCAACTCACACAGGGGAGCGCCCGGAAAGGGGCTTCAGTGCCAGGGAGCAGCCGCTGGCCCCGGGCTGGGGGAGCTGCTGCCGCCTCCCCCGCGTCCTGCCGGGGTCTCACCGCTGCCACCGGCACAGCAGAGCCATGGAGCTGCCACCTCCGCCATCGCTGAGCTGACCTTGCAGGGAAAGAAAAAGAACAACCCAAAAATGTCACAAGCTGCACCCAAATCCAGGAGCCATCCCAGCCCTGGGGCTGTGAGTGCCCCTCCTGCAGGCTCCTGCTGCGGCACCGGCACCGGGCTGGGCACGGCCCGGACCCGGCCCAGCTCCCCGGGCCCCGGCTGGGCTGCGGCGGAGCCGGCACGGGGCAGCTCAAAACTACTTACAGCATTTATTTTTCAAACACATGCTCGTTTATGAAAACAATCACCCTGGCACGGTCCAAGCATATACAGACAAATCTACTCTACGACACGAGGGGCTGCCAAAGGAATGGGGAAAAGCCTCTACTCATCCACTCAGCGGTTCCAGCACAGCCACGGAGAGGGGAACGGCCGCCGGGCCCTCAGAGCGGGCACCCGGCGGAACTCCAGCTGCCGGAGCTGAGAGCGGGTTAGGGGTACCTGGCCGTTATCTTCATACACATCTCGGCTTTCGGAAATAAAAACAAAAGGTTTCTTCCAAATCAGCAGGCAAATTTACCGCGGGGAGGGAGGGAGGGCGCCTCCCCGCAGCCCTGGCTGCGCACCCAGGACGCGGCCGGCCCAGCGGCAGGACACGAGCTGGGCGAGGTCACAGCCCCTTCCCGGGAGGGCCACCCGCTGCCCTGTGCTGGTCTGGGGGCTCGGGTCAGCGCGGTGCTGTGGCCGCCCCTCGGGCCCTCCCCGCTGCCGGCCCGGGCAGGGACAGCGAGGGACGCGGCCGGAGCGCGGGGACGGGACGGGACGGGCTGTGCGCTCCGAGGAGCGGGGGGAGAGGAGGTTTTGTACCTCATAGTGTCACTGATTTTGAAGTCCTGGAGCTAGAGCTGAATGAACAGTAAAAGCAGGTTAAATCATTAACCAGTTAGGGACGGGGAAGCAGCTGTAAAAGGAACAGAGGAAGAAGGCCAGATTATTATTTTTGTTTCTTTTCTTTTTCATTTCCTTTCCTTGTCTTCTCTCCTGGTGGCCGCCATGCCGTGATCACAAGCCCTGCTTGGCCAGCGAGGCGGACACCTCGTCGGCTAGCGTGGCCAGCTGGGGGGAGTCCACCAGGTTGATGCTGCCGCTGGAGGAGACGTTGCTAAGGCGGCGCGGGGAGGCATCTCCGGAGATGGTGGGGGACTTGTAGACGATTTCGGCGCCGTGGTCGGTCTTGGCTTTGGCGTTCTCGCGGAAGGTCAGCTTGTGAGTCTCAATCTGCGAGGGAGAGGAGGGTCAGGGGCACAGCCGGGGACAGGGGCCCTGCCAGAGCTGGGAGCAGAGCTCAGGGCAGTGGACCAGCGTCCCCAGTGCCCCAGGCCTGGGCACGTCCCAGGCACCAGAGAGGACAGCAGCACCTGAGCATCTGGATGCTGCCAAATCCTCCCCAGGCGAGGTCCTGGGTCCCAGAACGCAGAGGGCACAGCCTGGGCTGCTCCCACTCCCCTGGCAGAGATTGTGGGGGGACATGGCACATGAAGCTGCCCCTTAGCCCACAGAGCTGCTCCCCGGAGCCAAACCCCTCTCCCGGTGAACTGGATCTGCTTTGCTACTTACAGGTGCCCTCCCCAGCCGAGTGCAAGGCCGGGGGCTGGCTCTCCGTGGGGGTGAGTGGCTCCAGCACCAGGGCCTGGAGCCCAGCGGGGTCTGGGCTCGGGGTCCAGGTCTTGTCTTCCTTGCCTTTCTCTCTCTACAGGTGAAGAAACCCACCCAGGGCAGTGGGGGGCAAAAAATGCATCAGCAATAAAAATCACGATCCAAGAAATGTCAGCCAGAAGGAAAAAGACAAAAAATATAGAAAAGAAATAGAAAACTGGGGAGAAAAAGATCTGAAAAACAGGGCCATTCACTGGCTCATAGAAAGAAGAGTAGCTGCCTTTGGATCCAGGGAGGAAAACTCTCCAGGAGCAGCACGGGAGAGCACAGGGACTTGGGCAGAGCGCGGAGCACCCAGCTCCCCACGGCAGAGCCGGCACAGGAACCAGAGCTCAGCCTAAAGAGCTGTGGGCTGTGAGCCCCAGTGTGGATCTGAGTGTCACAGAGCAAGGAGGGGGCTTGGGGACACGGGAAAGCGGCAGCAGAGCTGCACCTGGGCTCAGCTACACCCACAGCCTCCTCCAGGCTGGGTTTAGGCAGCCACCTGAGGAGGGCTGAGGTGGTGATGCCGCTGCTGGGTCAAAGCCTTGCAAAGAAACTCCCCTGCAGAGGACAAGTTCTTCAAACTATGGCCCAGTGAATGTGCCAGGACGTGACAGAGCCGTCACCGGAATCACAAAACTGATGGCGAAAGGCTCAGTGAAGCACAGGGGAGGCTGATGCACGGCAGAGAGAAGGGTAAGGAAGTCAAGTGGTCCCGCAGTCAGAGGCCAGCTGGAGGTGAGAGCTGGAGCTGCACAGAGAACACGTGGCCAAGAACAAAGTGCCAAAATACAGGAGCTGAAACAGAACCTTCCCCTCCCATTGAGACAAAAGTGCTGCAAAACCAAGCAAGATAAAACCCGCGTTTCCCTGGGGAAGCTGAACCCTGCGAGTCGCCAGGCTGGAGTCTCAGCTCTGTGCTTACCTGCTGTTCTCACCCCTCTGCCTGCTGGGGACGTGGTGGCCTTGAAGCCCAGTTGTGGGGCTGTTTTATTTGGCAAAGACTCACTGAAGTCACCGTCAAAGCCCCGGTGGGAACAGCTCAGCCCCAGCTCACTTCCCTGACCCTTTTGTCTTTCCATTTAGATCCCCCAAACACTCCCCTCCGTCCACAGAGCCCTCGGTCAGGAAGGAGAAATCACCTTCTGGAGGGCCAGTTTGCTGCAAAGTCACCTGTTCTAAATAAAGCTGAGCCTTGAAAGCTCTGCAGCCGCCCAGCTGCCAGCCCTGAGGCACAGCACACTTGAGAGGCAGCAGAAAGAGCAGGAAACCACAGCAGAGGCTGTCACTGGCTCTGCTCACTCAGCTGGCCGCACAGGAGGGACACAGGGACATCCTGGCAGCAGTGCCACAGCTCTGTGCCCTGTCCCCTCACACCCACTGCAGCACACCCGTCCCCAGGGTGCCTTTACCTTTTTATTGCCTCCTCCAGGGACGTGGCTGATGTTATCTAGGGACCCGATTTTCGACTGCACCTTATCTTTGAAGTCCAGTTTCTCAGATTTCACCTCCACCTGGCCACCACCTGGAAGAGACAAGTGAGGGGGGTCAGGAGCTGGGAACAGCACCCAGCACTGCAGGGCTCACTGGGGTGCTCCCCTCGCCCCCTGCCCCTCTCCACGCCCCCCGAGGCTGAAGGGTACCTGGCTTGTGGTGGATGTTGCCCAGGGAACCACATTTGGATGTCACATGGCTCAGGTCCACTGGCTTGTAAACGATTTGAACCTGTCCACAGGAGAGAGAAGGGGATGAGCTGGTGGCCAGCACGGGCAGCTGGGGAGGGGGAGCACAACACACAGCAGCACCTGAGCCCGACTGGAGGGAAAGGACAGCTCCAGCCCCAGGAGGATTAATGACACCAAAGAAACTGCCATCAGAAATGGGAGATCATTAATGCCCGTGTGCAGGAGCCTCTTAACATGTCAGCATGCACGAGATCACCTCTCCACAGAGCGGGGAGCAGAGGCAATTTTAAAGTGCTCAAGTGAGAGAGAAAGTGGAGTGGTGATTAATTAAGATTTGCATACACATCATCCAAAAGGAGGAAATATACCGGAGAGAAAACATAAAAAATAAATACCTTTTCTGGTGTAAAACATAAAGCTTATGTCCACAAAAACTGAAAGAACAGAAATGATCAATGTGCACAGAAATTTCAAAAGAGTAACCAAAATATGCATTTCTGAAAAATGCTGTAACAGAAATAAGGGTTAAATAAAAAAAAAGCAAAGCAAAGTCTAAATATCTGGAGTTGACATCATAGAAATTAAAATGGCAATTATAAAGTATTGAACCACAACAGCATTTTGTGACATTTAAGCTCTGTTTTGGTGTGCTTTGCCCATGATGTCTCTCAAGGTGGGCTCCAGGAACTCCACGGACCCCCCTGTCCCCAGAGCCTCGTGGCACGGACACCGGGGACAGGGACACACACGGGGACACCGGGGGCTGCAGTGCTGCCACACACCAGGGAGGACCTCGGAGCAGGCACACACACAGCAGCCACGGCAGGAGCAGGAGACAAGGGGGACAAAACGTCCCCAGAGCCCCACAGGTCACCCTGGAGCCTGGGCTGGGACTCCCAGCAGCCAAAACGCCTCTGGCATCAGCGGGGTGTGCAGGAGGGTGGCATCACCCACGCCTCGAGGCCGGCCCTGGGCACAGCCTGGGCTCCCCGAGCTGCCCCAGGCAGCACAGCAGGGGGATGCTCCACCAGTCCCAGGAGATGTGCCAGCACCAAAGGGAGCTGGGCAGAGGAGCTGACTCCTTCCAGCAGCCCCGGAGCAGCACCAAGGATCCACTGCAGCCTCTGCCCCGTCTGAGCACCTGGGCTGACCCAAAACCCAGGGGAAGGTGCATCCTTCGCCCCAACACCCTCCAGTGATCATCACAGCCCTGAGAAACAGCCCTCACCCCACCCTGGAGCCAGGAAAAGGAGGAGCAGCCCCAGGCACAGAGCCCTGCTGACCTGCCTTGTCTCTGCTGCTCACACAGACCAGGAGGCACATTTGACAGGAGACAGAGAGGGAGAAAAGCAACGCCTCGGGTCTGGGAGACACCGTGGACACAGACGTGGAGACAGCGCAGGGAAAGGTCACACGTTCAATGCACTTGGGCAGGAGAGGAGCTGGGTTTGGTTGGAAAGCAGGAAACAGACCCAGAAGGGGCAGCTGGTGCCTCTAAGCCCAGCTGTGACCCTTCAGGGTCTCTCAGCAATTCAGGTGCCACTGAGACCTGGGACTGAAAGTCCTCCCGTTTCCAGAACACGCAGTGAGCAACTGGAACTTTCTGCTCTCATTCCCAGTCCCTTTTTTGACAGACAGGGCTCTGTCGTCCCTTCCCATCCTGCTGAGGAGCAGAGAAGGATCCTCCCCATTTGAGCAAGAAAGGAAAAGGGGAACAGAGTTGTTTTTCCTGGGAAAGCAGTGCCAGAGACCTGGGGATCCCACCCCTCAGCATCAGCAATGCCAAGGCCAGCTCCTGCCTAAGGCACCCCCTGGGCAGAGCATCCACAGCCCTCAGAATCCAGGCACCAGCCCCAGGGAGTGGCAGCTCCCTCTGGAAGCAGGGATGGCTGGGCAGGGGGTGCTGCTGCCACAGGGGAACGTGCCCTGGGGCCTCCTGTTGCCCCTCTGCCAAGGGAGCCCCAGGCCCAGCCCACCCCCCTGACACTCTGCCCCTGGCAGGTTTTGCTCCCAGAGCTGCCAGGGCCCGGCAGAGCTCATGGGGTCTTCAGTTCTGGCAGGGCCTGGGGAGGGATCACCACCCCCAGGTGAAAATTCAGGTAATTCTTAGCCCAGTGCAGCTGCCAAGGCCCACGGGGCGAGCTCTGTGAGGAAGGGACGAGCTCATCACCAGCCACAGCACCGAGGGCTGGTGGCCAGCACCAGCCCCTGGTCCACCACACCCTGGGCAGCCCAGGCAGGGCAGGAGCCCAGACTGAGGGAGAGGAACAGCCATGGAACTGCTTCACAGGGCTCTGACTCTGCAGAGCAGCTCCTCTGGCCTGTGCAGTAACTGCAGAGCCACACCAAATTGAAGCCAGAGGCTGCAAAGCCAGCTGTGTCCCTCTGTTCACCTGCCAAGCCTTCTGCAAGGCTCAGTTTCTCAGGGAGGGCGTCCACAGAGATGAAGGAAAATCCATGGGGAACATCTCAGAGCAGGCCCCACAGACCCCAGTGACACAGTCTGGGGTCTCAGGGATGTGCCTGCCTCGGCCCAGCATCCTTCCTGGACCCAAACTGCCTCCAGCTGTAAATCCACCAACCTCTGTGGAGTGCCTCCAGGTTTCTGGCACAGTAACTGAAAGCTGAGCCTGGTGTTTGTGTGGGAACAGCTGGAAATGCCAGTGTTCAAATCAATTACCTCAACAATCCTCAGGCTCAGCCTCTGTGGGCGCTGCCGGACACTTTTGTTAGCAAGGAGGATCTGAATATTTGCATGGATCATACTTGCCTGATGGGAACGGGCACGTGTGGGGCAGGATCATGTCCAATTTAGCAGCACACTGAGCAATGAGGACAGGTCTGCTCAGAAATATACCCATCTCCTGCGTCACCGTGTGCCTGAGGCCCCCTCCCGCAGACCAGGAGGCTTTCAGCCCTCCAGGCAGTGCAGAACCCTGGAGTTACTGGGATGGTTTGTTACAGACGTGGTTTGGACACGGGGCAGTTAGTTCTGTCCATGTCAGGCATGTCCAGGACTCGTTAGGGTTCATTTTTGGGTTAACGGGGTTAAATGACAGCACGTCCCCAATGGCTATGTGACAGCAGCGTGGCTGCAGATAGCATTGGTGATTAGTGTAACAACATGCCACTAAAATCAGGATTATCACAGTGCATTCAAAGTGTGAAGGTACTCACACTGCCTCCGCCCGGGATGTGTTTGATATTATCCTTTGAGCCACACCTGGATTGAACGCTGCTAAAGTCCAGCTTCTTATTAATTATCTGCACCTTTGGTAGCCAGAAAAGAGTCATTGCACGTCACCAATAGCTATCTGATGGCAGATAGCATTGGCAGTTTAGTGTACACAACATGCCACTTATTATAAGAACCATGATAGAGCATTGAAAGTGTGAAGGTACTCACACTGCCTCCGCCCGGGATGTGTTTGATATTATCCTTTGAGCCACACTTGGATTGAACGCTGCTAAAGTCCAGCTTCTTATTAATTATCTGCACCTTTGGTAGCCAGAAAAGAGCGTGAGAAACAACATGACCATCTGCAGCTCGACCATGTGTTATATCCCTAAAACCAGGAATCTGCCTTCCATGCCAGCAGTAAAAAGGAAAATCTCTGGCTTGCTGCACAGATTTGCCTCTTGCTGGGCTGGAAAGGGAAGATGGAGGTAGGCAGGTCATAGCTCGAGACTGGGCAGGCCTGGGCAGTGATGGAGCTCTGGCCACAAACACCAGCCAAAAAGCCAGCTCAGCCTGGATCCTTCCACTGAACAAACCGGGGAACTGGCTGGGCAGCAAACCCGCGGGGAGGCAGGGCTGAGGCAGCACCAGGGCTCAGAGACAGCTCCTGCAGAGCCAGGGGAATGAGGAGGGGTGGAGCTGAGAGAAAAATGCCTGCCCAGCTCCGTGGAGCCAGGCACCACAGCCCCTCCTGGGCCAGGCACACCTGGCCTTGGGCAAACAGGAGCAGAGCTGTGTGTCCAGCACTGGGAGAGGACACCCAGCTCTGCTCTGCGTGGGGCTCACGCTCCCTCCACAGCTGCCACCAGAAAGCCAAGGCTGCCAGGGATGCAGCCCCATCCCACCCCAGTGCTGTGGCATGTTCCTAAGGAGTCCCTGGTGGGTGGCAGTGGGGCTGGGAAGGGCTGGGGCCACATGGAACCACTGCCAGCCACAGCCTGCAGCCCCAAAGCCTTCCCTGCACGCTGGTCCCTGTGCTCACACAGCTGCCTCCACTCAGGGACTGCTTTCCCCCCTGGCTGTGCAGGGAGCTGCCCTGGAGCCGCCTCAGGCACCTGAGCAGCTCTTCCAGGCAAGCCCGGGGTGAAGAGGATCCCTGCTCCTTCCCCACCCAGCCTGGAGTGTCAGTGCAGGTGACAAGCCACAGGCGTGAGCCTGTGCAGCACAGCCTGGAGAGGGACCACGAGAACCCCAGCAGTGTCACCTCCCTGGGCACAGCACATCCCCGGAGCTGAGCAGGGATTCCAACCCCAGCCTGCTGCCAGGAGAGCTCCTGCAGTGCCCTGGAAGCACCATGGCTGGCCTGTGCCTCCAGCAGGGTTTTCCCAGCTAATCCCACACGTCAGGACCCAGCTCTGCCAGACCAGGCTTTGCCAGAGCAGCACTCGGTGGTGCAGCCACAAGAGGAGAGCTCAGGCCATGCAGGAGCTCACAGGGACCTGGCCTGGCTGCCCTGCCCTGCCCTGTGCCCCTCTGCTTGCCCAGGCTGGGGTCTGGAATCTGCTCCAAACCCATTTCTGACCAGCCTGAAATCAAACATCTGGGATCAGCCCCTTCTGCTCCAGCTGCAACCATTCTGCTGGGAGCAGCCTCGTGTCTACAGAATCCCACCAGAGCATCCAGCCATCCTCCCCTGCAAAGAGCAAGGAATTGTCCCAAATTCAGCTGTTCTTACTCTTTCAGCAACAACAACAAACAGAGAAGCAGAGAGGGAAAAAAACCAACTTGTAGAAGCTGGATTAAAAAAGATCAAACAAATAATTTAACTGTTTTCCAGTAAACAAGGGTTCCTTCCAAAATTCCTGGAGAACAGGGTTTGTGGGGGTGGGAAGAAAAACCCATGTCTTGTGCTAAGTGGGCAGGAGGGCTGAGCCCCCCCAAAAAGGACTCTGTGCTCATGTGCTGCTGTCTCATGACCAAGAGCCCTGCCCAGGCTCCAGAGCCCCCCTGGATGGTGGCACAAAGCCAGTGAATAGCCAGCCACGGTGGAAAACGCCTGGGGAGGCCATGGAGAAGCAGGCTGCCATTTCACAGGATGCAGAGGAGCCAGCTCAAAGCCTCCCCCCATGCCAAAGGGGAACATTCAGAGCCACCAAGGTACCTGCTCACACAAAATGTCATGCACAGCACTCAGGGAACGTTTCCTATGGCTCTGCAAGGGCTGAAGCCAGGCAGTGTCACCCCAGGACAGGCAGTGCCACCCTAGCACAGGCAGTGCCACCCCAGGACAGGCAGTGCCACCCTAGCACAGGCAGTGCCACCCCAGGACAGGCAGTGCCACCCCAGGACAGGCAGTGCCACCCCAGGACAGGCAGTGACACCCTAGCACAGGCAGTGTCACCCCAGCACAGGCAGTGCCACCCCAGGACAGGCAGTGCCACCCCAGGACAGGCAGTGTCCCCTGCCAGGCTTGCAGAATTTAACCCAAGACCCTCATTCCCAAGCACTTGGAGCCCAGAGGTCACTTTGCTCGTGAAACAACTTTTCTGGGAGTGCAAAGTGTTTGAAAGGACAGAAGTGCCAGCAGCTCTGGCCATGCCCCCCTGCACTGTGTAGCCAGACAGCACCTGGTGGCACAGCACGACCCAAAACCTCACCAACAGAGCTGGATCCAAATCCCAATGTCTGGCAACACGTGGGGTCTGAGCCCGAGACCCTCAGGAGGAGGCAGACCCTGCTGTCCTCCCCTGCTCCAGGCACGGGTGGGATCCAGGAGCACAGCCTGACCCTGCCTCTCCTCAGGGCTGCAGCTCAGCTCCCCAGCTGGACACCAGCAGGGAACATCACTGCACACCACGAGCTCTCCGTGGGATGGCTGAGCTGCACCAGGCCAGGCAAGGAATTCCAGGCCAGGCATCCAAGCCCAAACCCTGCAGGTGAGCCAGAGCTGGGCAGAGCCCTGCCCGCTGCCCGGCTGCTGCTGCCCCAGGCAGGTCCTGCCAGCCCAGAGAAGTGCCCAGCACCCGCTGTGCCACAGGCAGGACAGAGCCCGTGATTACCTTGCCACCTCCGGGCTGGTGCTTCAGGTTGTCGGTGGAGCCGATTTTGGACTTGACGTTCTTCAGGTCGGGCATGGGCGCGGCCGAGGGCTGGACGCGGGTCTTGGCCGAGGCGGGCGATTTCGGGGGGGTGCGAACCACTGCCACCTTCTTGGGCTCCCTGGCTGGTGGGGTGGGCAGAGAGGGGGTGCGGGAACGGCTGCCCGGGGTCCCGGGGGAGCCGGGACTGCTGTAGCCGCTTCTGTCTCCAGACTTGGGCTGCTCACCTGCATGCGCACACAGCACAGCCCGGTCAGCGCCCCTGGGGCTGCTCGGCCTCGCCCACAGCCCACCCACAGCCCAGCGCCGGGAGCCTGCGGCTGCACTTCCTTCCACTCCCTTTGGAAGGAAAAACTGTGATTCAAAGGCAGTTTCCTAACATCCCAGAAGGAAGGTGGTCTCCACTGCCTGGATCATCAGTAAGACTCCCCACCCGAGCGTGGCACGACAAATTACGGACAAAAGACACTCAGAATCACTTTTCTATTAGAAATTTGGAAACACTTTGACAAAATTATTTTCTGTAATTAACTAAGGCTGATTGCTGAGCAGCTTAGCACTGTCCCCGGTTTGAAAAGGAAATGAAAGAAGAAAAGAAGACCCTTAAACATCACCTTTCTCAGTCTTTGCTGCTGCAGGAGGTGGCTTTTTCTGCTCCTTTCTGCCTGTTTAGTGAATGAGAAAGATGCTTAAACATAATAAAGCTGGAAAATTAATTGATTTAAGATTTAATGCAGCTCTGGTTAAGTATGAAATATATGTATACATCCAGTGAAATGCACCATTTTAATGGAAATTCACAACGCCTGATGCTTTCTGGGGTTTTCTTCTCTGAGCATAATGGGCTAATCTCCACTCCTGTAATCGAAGAATTGATCCTCTTGCCCCTGGCCTTTGTGAAATATCACCAGAGAGAAAACGAGTAGATGGATTAAAAAAATGGAGCTGCCTAAATCTTCCAGATTTGAGGAAATCCTGCAGGATGAAGCAACTGGCCTCTCCTACACAGTGGAGACTGTATGAACACAGGGCACCGAGCGGCTCGACTCAGCAGGAAGGAGCCCCAGGAGAGGGCTGGGTTCGGTCTTTAACCCCTGGCACTGCCCAGCAGCACCACCCAGCCACCAGCACACGGCTGCCACCGTCACCTACCGGAGCTGGGAGGGGTCTTGGGGGCCGTGGGGGTCTTGGCCGGGATGCGGGTGGCGTTGGTGGAGTTCCTCTGCGCCTGCCCCGCGCGCGCCGTGCCCGTCTTGGAGCCACCCCTCGCCTCCGGGCCCTGGGGACACAGCGGGGACGTCAGGGACAGGCTGCCACCCCTCCCAGCAGAGCACCTGAGACCCTCCCACACTTCCATTCCCCTCCCTGGGATGTGCCTGCTCACACCTTGTGTCACAAGTGCACAGGCAGGGCACAGGAAAGGCTGGGACCTTTCCCAGGTGGCTTCAGAGACGCCACGCGCTGCACCCTCACACCTGGCTCAGCCACACCTCTGCTCCCCAGATTTCATCCTTTGGTCTCCCTTGTTCTGCCAAAATGGTGTACAGAAGAGAAATTAATCCCAGCACTGCCACAGGCTGCCCAGAGCAGCTGGGGCTGCCCCTGGATTCCTGGCAGTGCCCAAGGCCGGACAGGGTTTGAGCGCCTGGGACAGGGGAAGTGTCCCTGCCATGGCTGGGGTGGCACTGGATGGGATTTAAGGTCTCTTGGACGTGGAAATGAAAGAAAATGGGAACAAAACCAAAAGAAAATCAGCATGTGAGGGAAATAAAATGGGATCAGCGACATTAAATAGGATTAGAAGGTGCAATACAGAGCTGGGTGTGGGATAGACAGCCAGGGCTGTATATAGAGAAATAACCAATTTTGGTGTTAGAAAATAATTCCATTCCTCATCTCTAACTCTTCACGCACTGCATTTCCCTTCAGCTTGTCCATTATCCCTCTCAGGCACTAACCAGGATAATGGACAGCTGAGCTAAACCTCCTCCAAATTACCAGCGTGACAGATATTGTTTAACTTCTGGTATTTACCCATTATTAAACTCTATTCCTCACCCAGAGCATAACACGGCATCTTTTCTGGGGGTTGTCCTGTGCAAGCCAGGAGCTGGATTTAATGATTCTTGTGGATCCCTTCCAACTCAGGATATTCTATGACCTGCAAGGCCTAGATTATTTAATTTAATGTTTTAATTACATGTTTTGCTCTTTTCACAGTTATGCTTGTCCCTGGTGCAGTTTTGAGTCTGCTCCAAGGTCAGCTGCTGCTTTTCAGTCCTGGGCTGATAAAATGATTTCTCCAACCTCCCACCCAACCCCGTGAATCACGTGCTTGATTTAGATTTGGACCATTTCCTCACCCTTAAAGAACCCATGGATTGCACCATCCAAACCCAGGGGAGGGAAGAAAAAATAAAAACACTCTTGAAAACAAATGGAAAAATGGAACATAATGGGAAGGTTTCCTAAGAGGAACAACAGCAGGGCAGGAGAGGAGCCAGGAACACAGACAGGTGTCAGCCCTGTTCTGGTTTTTAGCTTACCTTGGGTTTCTTTTCATCAGCTTCAGTCCCTTCCTTGTCAACACGACCTGACAGATGGAAACAAACAGTTACACCTCTTGGGCCTGGTCAAAAACTCCAGAGATGAGAACACAGTGCTGGGGGTGTTCCCTGTCCCTGTTCTCCCTTAATACTGTTCTCAGAAATGTGAGAGTCACCACTCCTTGCAGAAATCCTTCCACCACTCCACAAACACATTCCTTCTGTGTTAGCAGATGATGCTGTGTTAGTCAGCACTGGGGACCAGACACACCAGGGAGGTTTGTGAGAGAGCATTTTGCCCAGATTTCCACCCAGCTCCTGCAGGATCCATCCAGCCCAGGACAGAAAGTTCCCTTCAGCCCTACACACGAGTCTCTGAAACACCCACTTGTTCTAACACTTCTATAAATGGAGACCCAAACTGAAGGAAGCCCCAGTCCAGCAGCACTGTGATCTCGTTTAAGGGGCGCTCCAGTTGGCCTTGCAGAGCACTTTTATCCCTGGCTGTTGTTAATTCCCATCTCTCCTGACAGGCTGCTCCCTGCCTCCCAGCATGGTAACCCTTCCACCTGGGTCAGTCTAATTAGGAGATTAGAAATGGGGAGGAGATAAAGTTTGTACTCCAAGGCACTTATAACAAAGCCCTTTTCCCCCCATCTTCAGCTAATTGGGAGGAGGAGCTGCTGATATTCTCCCCAGTGTTGGGAAACTTATCCTGGGGGATGAGCCCTTTCCTGACATGGACAATGCTGCTAATCCAGCACTGACCCCTCCCAAATTCAGCTGAGCTGCACACTGGATCAAGGCTGGAGCCAAACAGCCACCAAGCATCTCCGTCTTTGAAGGGAGAGACCATTAAATAATTAAACTTCTCCCACTGAATCAGAAGCTGGCTGGCTCTGGGCAGTGCATCCCCACCCTGCCGTGGTTCCAGGCTCCAGTGCAAGCCATGCCAGTGCCCTGCAGCACACGAGCGAACTTTCCCGCTGCTGATCCCACAGGGAACAACGAGAAACATCTTCTGAGCTTTGGCTCCAGCAGAAAAAGCTCCATCAGCAATCTGTGCCTGAGCCCCGCGCAGCAGAGCCGCAAGCCCAGCAGCATTCCCAGCGCAGTGGGAGCAGCCAAGCCAGCCCTCGGAGGTGGAGCTGGGGAAAAGGCAGAGCTTCCCCCAGGACCTGCCCTGGAGAGCCAGAGCTGAGGTACAAACGGTGAGACACCAGCCCGAGTCCCGCTGCCCTGGCTCCTCACCCAGCTCACAGCAGCACCTGCCTTCGGCCGCTGGGCCGGGCCCTGGGCACCTTCCTGAGCCCAGGAGAGGTGGAAAGCAGAAAGGAAAGGCCTAAGGGATGCTCGAGCATTTCGTGGTGAGCTCAGCTTTTCCCAAGGCTGCCCTCTCAGCCCAGCCCAGCCCCACACGCTGTTTAGGTGCCCCCAGACAGACAGGCAGCTCCTCTGAGCCCCCAGAGCCAGCACCGTGCTGGCACACCCAGGGATGCCCATCCAGAGCTGGCATGGCAGCAGGATGCTTTGGAAGAGCCATGGACATGCCTGGCAGTGGGGAAAGGTCCTGCTGGCTGCAGCCCGTGCCTCCAGCAGCAGTCAGCAGCGCATCTTTAAGGGGAAAGTACAAGGAACGGGATCAGCGTGGGGGCTTTTCCATGGTTAGCCCTGCCATCCTCGCCTTTTTCCTCCTCTCTCCTCTTTAGGAAAGGCAGTTCCAAGAGTTACTGGCCCGGACTCCAAGAGTTATGGCCATGCAAACCAGAAGGCACGTGTCCTGCCGGAACAAGCTGCACACGCCAGGGGAGCCCACGCCAACGTGCCAGAGCCACCTCCAGGTCCTCGTCTTCTCAGGGAAGGGACCAGGTGGGAGTTAAGGCACCCACCCAACAGATCCAAGGAAATCAAAACAAAAACAGGTGAAAAAAGCATGATTAGGGACACGCCAGCACCATGCAAGGGACGCAGAACCGCAGCACAAGGCTCTGTCAATCCAGTCCAGGACTGAATTGGGAGGGCAGGGAGGGAGCAGCAGCTGTGCATCGTCACAGCACAGGTCCAGGCCATTTCCAAGCAGCAGGAGCCGAGGTGGCAGCAAGCTGCAGTGCTGGAGCACACACCTTTGAGCAGAGGCACACGACTGGCCTTGTCTGCAGCCAGCCCACCCGGCTTCCTCCGGGGCGTCCGCCGGCCCCCTGCGTCCGGCACAGCCTCTCCCACGGGAGCATCTTCATCCACCTTCTTCACACCATCCTCTCCCTCAGCAGGGAGTTTGGCTGTTTCTAGCACGGGCCCAGAATCTTCTCCCTCCCTGGGCTCAGCCTCTTTTAGGGAGACACTTCCAGAAGGCTCTGACAGGGCGCTGTCCGGACCTCCTTCTCCCTCCAGCAGCTCTCGCTTCTCCTCTTGGTCCTCTCCTGCTTTATGTGACTCAGCTTCAACCAGAAGTGCCTCTCCTGGGGTGTCTCTGAGGACACCTTTGGACTTGTTTTCTCCATCATATTCTTCACGAGCCTCCTGGGCAGCTGCTGGGCACGAGCCCTTTTCAGGTGCCAGAGAAACACACTGATCCACAAGGGAAGGCAAACCCTGCCCAGAAGTTTCATCAATATCCCGGTCCTCATCCCTCTCCCGTCCGCCGGAATCTTCTTTTATCGTGGCTCTGGCACACAGAGGAGATGGTCCATCTTTGTGGCCACCTGTGCCACCTGCTCGGGCCAGGCCTTCTGTGCCTCCCTGGTCCCACAGCTCCCCACTGCCTTCGGAGCCTTGGTACATGTCCAGGGGTATTGGGATGGTGACCTCGATTCGGGTGGGGGCTGCTGCTGGAGCCTTGGTCTCACGGGACAGAGGTGGCTGCTGCGGCCCCAGCCCCTGCTCTGGGGGCTGACTGGCACTTTTTACTGCCTCTCCCACACGCTCCCGAGGGCCAGGCTGGAGCTTTGGAGAGCTCGGCTCGCCTGGAGTTGAAGTCGTGGGGTGTGAAACACGGGCAAGAAATTAGCACAGGCATGTCAGACATCAGGTAAGGTGAGAGAGAGTCAGCATTTCTACTGGCAATCGAGAGACAAAAGCAAGTCCCACCCCACCCCACTGAACAGACAACTCGCTCCTACAGTGGCTTTTGCCTTTAAAGAACTCTGATCCTCACGGGAATCAGGACCAGCACCTGGGAGATCAGATTCCTGCCTGGACCCAGCTTGGAGGTGGCCAGGTTCACCCTGCACTCCATGAGCTGGTTCAGCTGTAGAGGTTTCCAGAAGCCAAGAACATTCCCATTTTCCCTAACACCACCACTGGACCATCAGTTTGCTGGTCAGTGCCCACCTCTTCTTGCCTCAAGGGCCTGAACAAGGGCCAGAGCCCTGTCCTCCTTCCTGCAAAGATTTGTCTGTTTCTCTTTTCTTTTTTGGCACCTGTGTGTGTAAGAGGGGATTCTGTTCTGTCACTGTCCTGTGCATGACACAGACCTTTACAATTCCACCCAACAATTAATGCATGAAGACAGATCTTCCAGCTGAGCTGGAGCTTTTCTGTTGGAAATCCCTTCAGCTGGAGGAAAGATGCCCTGAGTAATGGGGGATTCACCTGGACATGGGTACACTGCTCTGGAGTCAGCCAGCCCAGGAAGAATGTGCCTCTTGTATTATGAGCTGGCTCAGCTTCAAGGACTCTTTGGTCTCTTCGAGCACTGATCAGGTAAAGAGCCTAAATCAGAGCCCTGAGATCACAACTGTGGCTTTGGCAGATCAACAAACAAGACTAAAACTAGAAAAGATGAAGTCAAGACCAACTTGGTCATTCATCAGTGTGCTCCCCATTTTAAGAGAATATCACAGTTAAGTGAAACAACCACACAAAGACCTCGGATGTGACAGCTGAAAGATCCCAGGACAAGGCAGAAAGGACTTAGTAAAAATCTGGTGAGAAACAGCACTAGAACCAGAGCAGAGAGAACTTCAACTCCCTCCACTAACAATCCTGATTTTTTTTTAATAGGGGTGCCACTATTTCATGTTTAGAAGAGCTGACAGTCCAAAACCACTGGCCAGGCCACTAAAGGTTTTATTCTGATTGCAGGGAGCAGAGTGCACAGAATTGTGCTCATCTGTGTGTGGAAAGCAACAACAACCTGAATTCTGCCCTGAGCTGAGAAGGCAAAACCTATTTACTTCTGTAAAAGACATGGATGTCTAAATGCACTAATGGAGCCATGGAAAGGAAAGACACTGCTCAGCTGGAGGGATTTGTTATGTTTACTGCACAGGAAACTGCTTCACAAAATGGCTTTTGACTAAGATTTCAAACAGCACACTAAATTAGTGCTGTGGTGTGCACTGCAGGCAGGACAGAAGCATCACAGGGAGTCTCAAGCCCTAAGTCTGCCCCATGGAATTAAGCCAGCACTGGGGACTTTGGGGAAACCAATTTTCCATCAAGTCTGAACTGAGGAGAGTCAGGAGAAACTTTCCAGGTAGCCAAATGGCCCCTGGATAATTTTCAGCCCATCTAAGCAGACACAACATGAATGCTGTGAGAACACTCACTGCCCACTGTGCCTGGGTTCCTCACTCACATTCCCCAAGACTGGGATGAGGAGGAAAATCCCTTTATGTTGAAGTCAGGGTATGAGTGAGTAGGTTTGAGTCCTGTTTTACTTTAGAAAGTCACAGCAATTAAAGAATTTGCTGGTTTCATGTGTGAGCACAAGGCCTGCACTGCCTCTGCTCAGTCTGAGCAGTTCCTCTGGCCACAGCACATCCCAGCTCTGTCCAGCAGCCTTTCCAGCCTGGAGAATGCTCTGTGTTTGCAGCTGGACAAACAAGTACCATGACTTTGGCCATCTGAGAGGGAAATGTGGTGTATGAGGAGCTGCAACTCCCTGAAATGAGCATGTTGGAGCACCCCAGGTGTGTATGGCCCTCCTCTGCCAGGAACAGGGAGAACTGCTGAGCAGGGCAGAGCATTTCCTACAGAACAAAACTCCCAAGCCACCACCAGCCCACTGCACACGTGGGCAGCAGCAGCTGGTCCCAGTGAGAGACGATTCACCCACCTTGAGTGGCATCTCCTGCAGCGTGGTCCTCCAGGTTGGGAGTGGCTCCTACGCCCGCCTCTTCAGCTGCTCAGGCAGAGAAAGAAGGGGAAAAACATGATCAAAATAAGAGCTGAGTTCAAGCATGTGTCTGGAGAATGAATTTACCTCCCTGCCGAGGCTGCCCAGCAGAATGAGCAGGATCTCTGCAGCAGGGCAGCATCAGAAAGGAAATGTCCCAGCACCGCTGAAGGACCTGGGTGGATCTGTTCAGCCCTTGCTCTACAGACCAGAGCAGGGTTTCACCAACTTCCACATCCTAAATGGCAGGTTAGTACAAGCTCTTCCAGGCAGAAAACAGGCTGTTAAGGAGCAAGGAAACTTGTGGATGTAGATCCCCTTCTACCCCACGTGGCCTGTACACGGCCAGCAGCACGCCCATGGATGTCTCTTACCTGAGCTCACTTCTTGTGTCTGTGACCAACCTGTGAACCCTGCCAAGGCTGGGTGAGGCCAGTAACTCCAAGCCTGATACAAATCTATAGAGAAATCCTGAACTTCAGGACTACAGGTACATCAGAGGAGCATAAGAGAAGGTTTTCTTCACAGTGATGATGGTTTGTCTTCCTCAGCATTTCTTCAGTTTATTCTATGACTATTTTCAAACTAGCTTAAACAATTCTATTGGTATGCCACGGTTCTCCAGTCAAACTAGGACTTCTCTGTTTTCCCCATTTTTATCCAAGCAGTTCAGGATACACTGGCTCCCTGGGACAGTCAGATCTTGCACCAGAGCCCCCATGTTTCAGTCCAGAGCTCCACCAGCAGCTCAGGGACCGGATGCAGCACAGAAATTCCACTGCTGTGAGTTTGTTTCAGTGCTTGGCACTGGCAGAAGCCCTTTTCTACCCACTGCTTTTCTCAGGTCCTGCCTGATGCTTCCAGGGAAAGCCACTGGCCATGGCACAGGGGACATGTCCTCATTTTTCACACACAAAGACCTGCCCTCCCAGATCCTGCTCTCCCACACACAGCACTGCCACAGTCACTCCCTGCTCTGCCTCTGGAAGGCCCCATCCTTCCCTGGAAAACCAGCCCAGGTGCAGTGGCTGCCCACAGGGCATTCAGGCTGAATTAGTCACTTCACTTCTCTGCATCACCCTTAAAAGCACTGCTGCAGTGGCCTGGTTTTCACCTGCCACTCCAAAGACACCCGCCAGGGCTGGGCAGAGCCCAGGGGCTGCAGGAGGCACGGGAAGGACTCAGATCTGCAGAGAGGAGCCTGGAGGTGGGAGCCAAAGCCACCACAGAGACACCAGACAGAAGGATTGTCAGGTGTGGAGCAGAGAAAGAGAGAAGAAAGGCTGCGAGTTCCCCCCAGGATGGGGAAGGCAAGAGGACAGCTCTGAGAGAGGAATTATCTGGAGAAGAAGGAAGCAGCGTCCCTGTGAGAGGTTTCGTGGTGTTGTCTCACAGCACCGACCAGTCCAGCTCTCTGCTCTGTCTGCAGCAAGAGATGAAGCTGCACCTTGGTCTCCCTCACCTGTGGTTCCTTCTGGGATCTCCCCGTGCTGTTCCGCACCACCCTGATCCTCGTGGTCTCCTTCCTCCACTAAAGGTGCTGTGGCATCTGAAAAACAACACAGCTTTCACACAGCTGCTGAGAGGCAAAGCCCTCTGGAGGCCAGGAGTGCCTGGAGACCTTCCTGCTCGGAGAAGCGCTCAGCTCCCTCACAGCCAAGCAGACACGGCAAAGCCAGAGCCACAGGGACACCACGAGCTGCCCCCTGCCACACAGCGCTCCCTACGCTTCTGAAGGCTTTGCCTTTTTGTCCAAAAGTCCACCACTAAATCCTGCACGGAGACACGGCTGCTGTGGAGCAGGACAGAGCAGCTCCCCTGGCATTGCACAGAACACCCCAGAGTGGCTGCACCGTGCTCTGGGACACAGGGACACCCAGCTCCACCTACCAGAGGGGTGGCTGCTCGTCCTGGCAGTCCCAACCCAGCTGGAAAGCAGGATAACATCCCCTCCTGCACCAGACAGGTCTTATGTCCTGATTTCTTGGGCACTTTCCCGACAATCACTCAGCCCACGCCTCCAGCGGGACAGGGCTGGGACTGCTCAGCATCTCTGCCCACCCTTCCTTCCTTTCAGAACAATTTTGCAAGCTAAAGCCTCTACCTCAAGTCTCCAAAGGCAGATTCCTGGGATTAAAGCAGCCAGAGGAAGGCAAAAAGTGAAGATAATTACAACAGTGAACAAGTCTCTAGACCACTCTGGAGTTAGAGCCTTTCTACCCACGAGGCATTCAGGACCTGGGGAGCACAGACACACAGACCTGTGCCACTCAACACAGGCTGCTCCTGGCTGCTCTGCCAGGGCCCTGCATGCCCCTGTAAAGGCTGCAGGAAACAAACCACCAGCAGCTTCCTGAGCTGTAAGGAACAATTCACCTTTCCTGCTTTCCAGCCCACTCTGCACCTCTACAGCTCATTTTCTCATTCTGCAGCACAGCCAACACCACTAGTGATGAGACTAACAAACCAGGACACGGCACGGGGAGTCTGTGGCGAGGTTTACCACGACCCCATCCACCATGGTCCCAAAGCAGAAAGTCAAAGAGCTCCCACCTTCCGTAGTTGGGGTGCTCTTAGCGTCAGATGTTTCAGAAACAGGCTCATCCGATCCATCATCGACTGGTATCTGAAGGGGATAGCCTGGAAAACATTCAAATACTTACAACAGGTCCTTGGCTAAGAGCTGGGGCCTGGGGGTTACCAACTCTGATTGCCACAGCTGCAAGAAGCTGCAGCTGGAGAGTAAAACCACCGGAGCCAAGAGCAAGCAAAGCGTGGAAATGCCAACCAAAAGCACCAGTGTGACCGCCAAAAGGAACAAATGGAAACCCACCAGCAAAAGAAAAGCCCAGTGAACTGGGCAGGCAGAAACAGCAAAGCATGGCACAAGCAGGCAAGGAGATCTCAGCAACGTAAGGAGGAAAGATGTGCAGCTTCTGAGCCCCTGTTGTCCTCTCCCTCCCAGAGCAGGCTGAGCACTCCCAGGACTGCAAACCAGCCCGTGTTTGTGATGGGGCTGGTGCAGGACAGCATTCTGTGCCAAGAAACGGTGGCAAAAGTCTTCTGGAAGAGCAGGGCAAGAGGCACAAGTCTCCTCTCAGCAAGGGTGCAGGCAAATCAAATAATGAGAGCTGGAAAAACTGATTTGGAAAAGAAGAAGTGAAATCCCTGGGAACCTGTGATGTGTGAAACAAGCTGAGAGGAGCTGCCGGACCGCAATGCGCTACTGGATGAATGGATGCTGTGGATTCTCTCCAGGACAGAGGCCATCCATTTGTCTGGTCAAAGAGGTGTCCAAAGCACCTCAAGAAAAGGAAATTAAGATGATGTTTATGTGGAGCACAGCCAGGAGTGAGTCCCACCAGGTTTGCTGGGGCGGTGTGGGTTTCCAAGCTCAGCTATGGAGCATGGTGGAATGAGAAAGGAAAAGCTTCTGAAGAAATGCAGGTCTGAAATATGGTGAGGAAGACTCTAGCATGGCCCCCACGCCCAGAGCTCTCTGTTCAGTCCTCCCCAGGTCCCTGTGCAGGTGAGGAAAGCAGGCAGCAAGCAGCACCCTCGAGCTGTGACCCCAAATAAAAACAAGTGCTGTGCTTTCTTAGCAAACTGAGGAGTGAACACAAACACACACTTGCAAAGCTGCAGCAGTGGGATCACCCCTGTTCTGGGTACCAGGGGTTACTCTGCTCAGTGGACAGTGAGATCCACGAGCAGCATTTTGCTGCCACCGTGCATGTGGAGCACCCTGTGGGCTCCCCGTGGTGCCCTGGCTGCAGCCAGCTGACCCACAGCGTCCTTCCCAGGACCCCTGGCACCACCACACTGCTCTGCCTCTCCCCCCCGAGCTCAGCAGTGGCCCAGGCAGGTCCTTCACCACCTCCTGGACGTGCTCACCTGGGGAGAAGTGCTTTTCCTGGCCAGGTGCGTGATCCTCCATCATGGTGGTGTCCTGAGGCTGCTCTGCCACCTCTCAGCAAAGGTACCTGAAAAGGAGAGTAAAAACTAACACCCATTAGGCAAAACCTGACACAGCAGGAGCAAAGGGAAGGTCTGGCCATTCCTGCACAGGCAAAAGCATGTGCCAGTCACTGCATCCCTCACAACAAACACAGAGGCACCTCCTGCCAGCTGCACTCGAATTCCATGGGTGTTTAAGATGTCCCAAGGAAAAAGACCACCCTGGTGCACCCAGGACACTGCTCTGCCACAGCTTTGCCCCAGGAGCTCTCTGTGAGCAGCAGGCGAAGTGCTGACTGACTCCTGGTGCTCCAAACGCTGCATTTCCCAGTTTAACCAGTCTCCCAAGAGATGCATTTCCTGGGGAGGTGTGATGCTGCTGTGGGAAGGGATCCTTCCATCCCTGTGGAGACACCCAGCAGGGATGCACATCTTCAAAGCCATCTGAAAGTGACAGATGGGGGGGACACCAGGCCTACCCAGAGATGGATTTCGGACTCTCAGAGGAGAGGGTCTTGCTCAGCTGTGGCTGTGAGGGGACAGCACAGCCCCTGCTTTAACCCCAAACCCTTCCTGCAGGGCTCAGAGAGCCCCAGCACAGCACAGAGCCAAGCACACAGGTCTGGGGTGGAAGCAGAAAGGTGCCAAACCTCCCAGTTGATTCTCTGAACCGCACTGACCTGCGAGAGGAAATGAAGTCTCCAACAACCATTACCTGCCCCTGGCACAGGGCCCTGCTCCGTGCTGGATGGACAGACAGTGCTTTTAGCTGCCTTCCTAAGAGCTGGTATAATTACAGCCATTGGCAGTGATTAATAATCAGCTATTAGTGTGATCACATGCTTGCCCTGACCCTCAGGGACGGTGAGTCCAGCAGGGGAGCTCAGGTTACCAGCAGCAAGGAGGAAACTTGTGGTTTTGTGTGCTGGCAATAAATTAACTGGATGTATGGAACCACACAAGAGAAACTCCAGGGCCAGTAACCAGATCTCTCACCCAGCTTTTTTTAAGCCTTAGCAAGATGACTCTGCAATTTAATTACTGCCTTAGACAGCTACAAAGCCATTTGACAGCACTGGAGAACCAAGGAAGCTGGAGAGCTTGCACTGGAATGAAATCACCCATAAAAATGGAGGGATAAAATAAGAGAGAATCAAGTATCTAATTTTTCTCTAATTGGTGGGCCCTAATTATTTGGACATATGGCTGCCCTCCTCCTAGTGCTCAAAGGGTCATATTGATTACACCAGGCCTTGCATTTCTCCGGGCATGCAGGGCTGCAGCCTGGGGCAGTCCCTGCATTTCTCTGGGCATGCAGCCTGGGGCAGTCCCTGCATTTCTCCAGGCATGCAGGGCTGCAGCCCCTGCGCTGCAGCAGCGCTGTGATCCAGCAGAGGCAGAGGCTGCTCCGGCAGGGCTGGTGGTCACCCGCCTGCACTGACCACCAGTGCCAGGGCTCTGCAGCACAAAGGAAGGGCCGGGGCTGTGCAGAGCAGCTGGGGATGCTGTTCCCTGCCTGTGCTGCTCAGGGGGGACAGGCAGGACCAGCCCCCACGCCCGTCACGGCACCGCACGATGCAGCTCGGGGGGCTCGGGAGGATGCAGCCATCAATTTTTCAGAGACAGAGAGGAAGAGCTGCCTTCCTGTTACAGGGAAAAAAGCACGACCAAAACATGGAGGTCCATCACTGAGACACTCAGGGGGACCCTGGGGCACCCCAAACCCGGCTGCAGCTCAGGGAACGCCCCAGTGCCCCTTCCTTGGGACACGGGGTGTGGGGACAAGGCCTGGATTGCTCTGGAGAGCAGAAACATCTCCCAGCAGATGGAGCACAGCGTCCTCCTGCTGCTCCAAGAGTGCCCTGGTGGGGAACAAAACCACCTGGCACCAGAGCCAAGAGACAGGGAGGGAGGAAAGTCTCAGCTTGGCCTTGGGTTTTCACTCAGGTCATGAATTCATGTGACCAAAGAGAATTTAAATCTTATTCAAATGACATAGTCTAGATTCGAATTCTCAAGGATGGACTGAAAATTCTGAAAGAAGTCCATAATGATAATCCTCTTTGTTTTTCCTTTTGAGTGGGGGAAGGGGAAATCCCTCTCAGAGAAAAACATAACATCAAGGGAAAAAAACATTCTAAAATATGCTTAAAAGTGTAAAACCAGCCCCGCCTTCAAGCAATGGCTCAGTGATGCATAATTAGAGCAAAGAAAGCTGCACAGAGATAAACTTGAACAGCACCCTCTGCATGGCAGATAAAGCACAAACCCTCCCAAGAACCTTATCCATCCCCAGCAGAACTATTCTCCTTAACCAGGGACACTATCTAAAAAGCAACAGCCTATCCCATAATTAACAGCTCCTCCAAACCTCACGTTTTCCAGACCTGAAGCCCTCCTGGTGTTGGAAGGGACCTCAAAGCCTATCCAGTGCCACCCTGCCATAGCAGGGACGCCTCCCACTGTCCAGCCTGGCCTTGGGCACTGCCAGGGATCCAGGGCACCCGTGCCAGGGCCTGCCCACCCTCCCAGGGAAGAACATCCTCCTAATATCTACTCCAAACCTACTCTCTCCGTTTGAATCCATTCCCCTGTCCCGTCACTGCAGGTCCTTGGAAGTATTTCCCAACATTTCCCATTTTCTGGAGATGCTGGAAGGCCACATAAGGTCACCCCAAAGCTGCTCTTCGTCCCCAGCCCCACGTCCAGTCTGCAGCAGCGATTCCTGCCCAGCCACCACAGAGGCACCAGGACTGGGCACAGGCAGGACGCCCCAGCAGCACAGCAGGGCCCCCACCCTGCAGCCCCTGGGGAACCCAAAAACCCCACGGAAAGCCTCCAGCACCCTCTGCCCGGCAGGGCTCGGAGCCCACACTAAGGCAGGCAGCCCAAACTCGTAAACCTTTGGCCAAAAGCTTCTCTGCAGTGGAAGGGAGATAAACCCCAGGTGCAGCCCAGCTGAGAGCAACGTGCCCCGCTGAGGGCAGGGGGAGAGGGCAGAGCTGGGAGCACCCAGATGTGTAACCTGGGCCAGACATCTGGAACAGCCTCCCCAGCCCCTCCGTGCCAGGCTCGGAGTGGGTCACAGCCCAGGGAGCAGAGCAGGGACCAGCCCGGGGTCACAAGGCTGGAGCAGAGCTCGATTTACACAGCCCAGCCCAAAATAAACCCGGCCTTGGCAGCACACGGGCAAGGAAACACAGAAAAAGGAACATTGCAGCAGGAGAGTGCCAGCCTGCAGAGATGCTGGCTGGGTTTGGGACCCACTGAGCCCAACCGAGCAGCTCCACCCTTCGTGCCAGCCACAAAATACCCCCAAAATACCCCCAAAATACCCAAAAGATCACCCAGGTAACTCCCAGACACGGCCAAGCCTCCTGGCTATTGTCTCCTGCTCAGCATCTTCCTTCCCCATTATTTAATCAGAAAGGGCACAAAGCACTCGCTCTTGTTGTTAAAAATGAAAATTCAACAAACACGAGCTAAATGTTACCTCTGAAAGGTGATCAAACACAACCAGGGCTTTAAAAAAGCATCATTCCAACTGAATTACATCATTAAAACAGAGTGACAGCACCGTGAAACAACATCAGCCTGAAAGGCTGTTCATAATTCATAAGCAACTTCCTTTTCATCTCCTTTGTGTACTTCTCCAAGTAGTGTTTTTCCCAGAAGCTGACAGAGGAAGGAATATGGACGATGATCTCATTAATTGCAGGCACTAATATGCAGCGAGCTGAGAAATTACATGGAATTTCAGGCTATCTAGTCAAGAGGACAGAAAACTTCTTTTAGGTTCAAAGACAGATAAATGCCTCTTGGAGCAATAGGACAGAGTTGCAAAAAAAAAATTGTCTCCAAAATGCATCTTTTCTTTTCTTCTTTTTATGATTTTTTTGTATTTATTACAGTTTAAGTAACTCCTTGAAGGTCTAAACTTTTGACCCTTTCCCCAGGAGCTGGGCACTTTTCAGAGACATGAGGTGGGTTTGGGCTCAGAGCAGAGCAGTTTTTGGGGCACAGGAGTCTCATCACTCACTCTGGACATCCATTCCCCAGAGTCCCTCTCAGACCAATGCAGCCCTTACAAATCCAACCTGCCCACGGCCAGGGGTCACCACGGGGGTCTCCAGAGCAGGCTCCTGGCCAGAGAAAAGCCAAGGAACACCCACTTGCATCCTGCTAAGTTCCTCAGGGTTGCTGAGAATTAAACTAACAGAATTTGCCATCCCAAATCAGCTTAGGCCCAGTTCAGCAGCTGCCTCGGAGCAGGGCAGCAATTAGAGACCAGATTATCCAGCACAAAACCCCAGCCCACGGCCTGAGCTGCAGGAGAGGGGGAGCGGGTTTGTCTGCAAAATAAAATAACTGTGCCCAAAGAAAATAACTGTGACCTGCTCCACCTGCTCACCCCAAACCTGAGCAGCTCCATTCCCACCTGCAGCATCTCCAGGCACTAAATGGATCTTCCTTCCTTGATCTTTCAGCCCTTCTTAATTCCCTCCTCACTTCTGGCCAGACTCACCCGACCAGCCTTTCCAAGAGCAGTGCAGACCCCAGCCGTCCCCGTGAGCTCTCGGAGGGTGTTTCAGGGTGGCCACAGCCCAGGGAGGTGCTGGCCCTCCAGATCACCCAGCTCACTCCATAATACGATGCAAAAATCAGGCTGCCCCTAAATCCACTAACTTTAGCTCGATTAGGGCTCTGATGAGGGCCTTCCGTGGCAGCAGAAAAGGAAGCAGCAGCAGTTTTAAAGCTGCCCTGAGTGCTCAGCAGGCTCTTTGCAGAGAGGGGAGAGAAGCCTCTTTGGCAGGGATTTGCCAGGCTGCCTTCGGATTTCTTCCCACCCCCTGCTACAGCATCTTGCAGTCCTGCGTTTCACTGAGCCCCGAGGTGGTCAGTGGGGGGATAAATTCTTCCTCCCCAAAATCCCGCTTGCTTGGGAAGCCTTTAAGCAGTTGAACACGTAGAGCGGATCAAAGAGAAGGCAGATCTTATTTACCAGCTAATTCTCTTTGACTCTTCC